CATTATATTCAATTGTAAGAAATGTACTTTCAGTTGCTTCTTCGTCCGTTGAAATTGAAAGAACATTTTCGGGTGCTAAATTGTTGGTTACAGACAACAGATCAAATTTGGGTTGGGAAAGAATAGAACAATGTGTGTTATTAAGGGAATGGGCAAACATTTCAAGAGTAGATATTGTCGAAAACTCTGTCATTTATAATTATTCAAATATTTCAAAAATGGTATGATTAAATAAAATTTTACAAGAATTTTAAACTTTTTTCATAAAAAAAAATAATGTAATTCTAAGTTTTTTTTTTTTTTTTCTAAGTTTCTAAGTTTTTAAAATGAAAAAATTAGTCAAGTGGGTGGGTGTGGGAGTGGGGGAAACTCAGAAATTTTTTTTTTTTTAGTCAAACTTAGCTAAATTTTCGTCCCTATCTTTTTTGCTTTACTTTTAAACTTGATCAATTGCTCTGTGAAGCCAAGATCTTGATCATATATGATTTCGTTTGGATCGTAATTTTCATCGGTGTCAAAATGAATATGATCATATTCTTTAATGTTTTCTTTTTGGAACTCTTCTTGAATGATTTTATTTTTAGTATTTTTGTTATTGTTATTGTTATTATTATTGCTACTATTTTTTTTTCTAATTATTGAATTTATAAAAATGGTAACTACATCTTTACCAATAATTATAAATAGTCTAATAAAGTCTTCTATTAGAATGCCTAAACAAAGAATTGAAACTAATAATATACCAATCATTATTGAATAGATTGAATAATAAATTAAATAAAAAATGAATTTGATAGGTGAGAATACTGTATATAAAAACATGGAAAAAACTAAAAAAGCTATTAATTCCACTATTTTTTTATTCATTTTGATTATTATTTCTAATGTAGTTATATTATAATTTAAAAAAAATTTTATTATTATTTTTGTAGTTATTAATATTAAAATTTTATAAATGATTATTAAAAAAAAAAAAAATATTGATAATAATGAAAAAAAATAATTTATAAAAAATATTAAAAAACTAAATTATGTGTCAGTAGGGGTAACAAAAATTTAAAAAAAAAATATATTTAAAAAAAATAAAAAAAATTAAAAAAATAAAAAAACTAATAGTGAACATTTTAAAAAAAAGTGTCAATGATCAAATTTTATAGTTTCCATTTATAGGTTTAAAATAAAATTTTAATTTTAAATAAAAAAAGAACTTTTATTAAATAAATAAATAAATAAAAAAATAAATAAATAAAAAATATATTTTTTTTAAATTTCGATATATACTTCAATTAATGAGTGTAAAACCATTTCGTATTGTTTAACAGATTTGATTGTTCTAAAACTATCATGTGACTATTATCTTTTTTTTTACAAATACAAAATCCGTCAAATTTTTTCTTTTTTTTTTTTTTTTATTTTTTTATTTTTTTATTTTTTTTATTTTTTTATTATTGCCATATGTCACATTCTTTTACAAAATTAGTATTTTGGAATCATTAGAAACCGATATTTTTTTAAAAAAATTTTTTAAAAAAACCTGGTAAAAGATATTTTTATAAAAAAATATATTTTGATGTCAAATTTAGGATTTTCGATTATAATAAAAATAAAGATTAAAACTGGTTAAAAAAATAATATTTCAAGTAAATAAAAAAAAAGTATAAATAGAAAAAAAACTTTATTTAAAGTATTAAAAAATAAAAAATAAAAACAAATAATAAATATTAACAATAAACTATTTTATTATTTATCAATTCTTCTTATCTAAAATGAAATTATTACTATCTTTAATTTTAATTGTTGCTTTATCAAGTTCTTTCATCAATGCTTTCAAGATGCCATCCAAAGGCATTAAAGATGTTGATTGTGCCTCCAAGATTTCTAGTTTAAGTGGATATAACACTTGGTTTGATGTAGTATCAGCAAATGGGGTATATCAAAATGGGGACCAAGAGGGACAGGCTTCATTTTATGAATCTGGTTATGTCTCTGTAGACTACGATAACAATCAAGTACATGTCATGTTTGGCCTTAATATCGATGGCAATGATGTAGTAGGTAAAACTTGGTTATATTCAAAAAATGTAATTATCCAAACATATAATTTAAAAAAAAAACAATGTTCTAATGTTTTTTTTAAAATAGCAAACCCAATATGTAATAGTTGATGGTCAAACTTGTATTAAAGTCCCATTTACCTCAGGAATTCCAGTAACTAATGAGTTTACTAAAGTTGGTGAAATTAATCTTGGTATGATCAATACCCAAATCCTCCAACCAGCAGCCTCAGACTCACTAACAATTCAAGAAATTTTTGTTGAAACTCAATATTGTTCACCAATAGCTTCTAAAATCGCCAATGCCCCAAATAAAACACCAGGTTCTACAATAATGAATTTCTACAATTACCAAAACACTGTTGCCCCAGCAGATTTTGTATTGCCAGCCGAATGTTCTGATTTAAATTCAATCAAACTCTCATCTCACAAGTTAATTAAACCATACCCAAAGTTCTTAACTCAATTGTTTTAAATTACAATTAAAAAATTATTTAAAATATTAATATTTTTAAAAATTTTATTTAATATTTTTATTTAATCATTTAAAGAATTATAATGTTTTTTCTCTTTTTAAAAGCTCTCTCATATTGAGAATATAAATGGATGTGTTTTTATTTTAAACCAAATTTAGATTTGTTGTTTTTTTAAATTATTTATATTATTTTTTTTTAAAAATTAAACTAATTTTAATAATTATAACAAATTTTTTTTTTTTTTTTTTAATTGTAGCGAAGTATTTGGTAATACTAAAAATTATGGAAGTGGGGATTGGAATGAGTCTAAAGAAGAGTTTGCTAAGCATAGTGATAGATTTAATCTTGACATAAAAAACTATTATCGATAAACCAAACCGAAGTCTTAAACCTATTTTAGTTTCTTTTATTTCTTTTTATAATCTAAGAAATTCCATTTTTTGTTTCATATTCTTTAACTTTAAAACTTGTTGCAGATAATTCATCGAAATCAATTTCTTCTGAACCTTTGCAGTTTGGAGCATTTTTTACACTCTTTGTAGCATTTGTTACTTTATGTTGTGATATCAGATTTACAAGCGGAACCAAGTTGAGGGGTAGCGGCAGTGACAGCTTTAGAGTTTACATACATTTTCAGTCCCACAGACAATTTCTTGAATTTACGAAGCTTTATTGATGATATCAACCTCTACTGAAGGATAAAATATAATGAATAAAGTGATAAATAAAAAAATTAATAAAAAATAAAAAATATTTTTATAAACAAAAAATTTAATTTTTTAGAATAATTTTAAATTAATTTATGTTTAATAAAATAATTATAATTTTAAATTGATTTAATGAATTAATTAATTAATCTTTTTTTTTTTTCAAATCTTTAAATGTAAAAGTTTACCTATGTATTTTGGATATCAATAGAGAGAGAATTTAATGAAATTTTTAAATCAAACAAATAGATTTAATTAATATTTTCAATCTAAAATTTTATGAAAAAGATAAGGTTGAAACTATTCTATAGAATTAAATTCATTAGTTATAAATTATAATAATTTATTATAAAAAAGACAATTGTTTTTTTGTTTTTTTTTATTTTTTTTTAATTGTTTTATTAATTTTTTTTTTTTTTTATTCATTAAAAATTATTGCTTTCACACCACACATATAATTTTTCATCCATCAGCTTCATATTTTTTTACAATCGCTTTCATTTAAAATAATATATTGTTTTTTATATCTTTATATTTCTTTTTATTTGTAAATAATAATTATTTTTTTTATTTGTATATAATTTATATCTTTAATATTTTTATATAATTTATAAATAATTGTTTATTTTTGTAAAAAAAAATGGATTATTTTTTATTTTTGTATATTTTTTTATTTTTAGTTTGTGCCATTGGTTTTTATTCAACTTTTCGTTTTGGTAAATTATTTACCAAAAAAAGCATCACCCAAGAAGAGAGTTGGGAAAAAGACGACCACCAACTCGATGACTCTGACCAATTGGATGATTTGGTAAATTCATTTGGAAGTCTAAGTGTTCTAACAAGTGAAGAAGAAATGGAAAATAAACAACTTATAGAACAATATTCAAATCTTCTCCAACACTTCGATAATACCCTAGATGAATGTAGTAATAAACTAGATCAACAATTAAAAGTTTTAGAGTCTTTAAAAAAAAAATAATTTTGGTTGATATCAACCGTTAGATCTCTTATAGACACGGGTGCATTGAAATACTTTTAAAAACCTTTAAATATAAGTAAGTAAATAAAAACATTATCAAAAACATCAAATCTATTTAGAAATGGGATTCGTTGAATAAAAAAGGAAAATATATGAATTACTAACACAAATAAATTTCTGTTTTAGAATCCGAATCATGTATTTCTGTTTTAGAATCCGAATCATGTATTTCT